ATTTTTGAACCGTGGCACGGACCTTCTTGATTTTTGAACTCGACCACTCTATGACGGCATAGAGGGAGATTTCTAAGTACCTGGTCCTGATAACTTGCAATGGGTAAACACTTGTTGCCCCAATAGCTCCTGACATTGGTCCGCAACCCGGTTGCCCTATAGGACCAGGCTCTACAAAAAAGAATTAACACCTTTCATTATATCTCAAATGCATAATTTTCAAATGTTATCATAACTAGAAGCAAACGAAAACAAGACTTCAAATCCAGAAAACTGTACCATTGTCATGAAGAATATATGTCTTTGACAAGTCTTTTAATGTCTCATATGCAGCTAGATCGATGCCAGCATATGGAATCATCCCAAGAAGAGATGGAACAAGACCTTTGTAAAATGCCCGGGGTCCCTCCTGAACCCAGATATCCTTGGTAAGTGCCCCCAGCTTGGGACCCTGACCACTTTCACATGGATAAGTCTGTAAACGAGTTTTGACGAGATCCAAAGGGTATATAACAGCTTGTGCAACTGCACCGGCCAAACCACCCGCCAGAAGTCTCCCAGTGCCACCTATATCACATGTGTTTTCCCCCATACTATTTGCAATGACAGTTTTCAACATTTCATAAGTGTAAACTTGATGGCACTCTCAGGTGCCACTTTCACAACATTTAACCCATTACCTCTGAAGAACCCTAGCAACCCGTCTTCCTTCAATATTTTTCTGATAGCTGGCACAATACTAGCACGTGTTGTCTGAACTTGCAAAACCACCTTTAAGCGATCAAGAGGAGCAGTTGCAGTGCGAGATGCAGCTCCTGCTATCCCCCCAGCAATGAAAAATTTGGGTTCTTTGAACATGTTTACTGATGCCCTCAGGAATAACAGCCTGCTCCCCAATATCAACTAGGCATAATCTTTCCCAGTGGTGATATATGTTTTCAATGGTAGCCTCATGTGGGTAAAGTAGCAAAAAATCTCTCCATTCTTCAAATGTTATAATTCCATTATTATCCTTGTCAACAAAAAAGACAAAAAGAGCAAGCTCCTCATCATCAATTTCAATTCCTGCAAACAAAAACTGCCAGGGCTTATAAGATGAAAACACCAGTAAACTGACGAACAGGGAAAGAAAAATGTTTCCACCAAATATAGGAAAAGAAAAAAGAATTCTGAAATATCTTATTGCAAAGGCTCACTGAATTCTTATGGCATGAGATAAAATCAGGCAAAGAATAAAAGAATGGAAGTATGGAAGAACACACTGAGAACCAAGAATTTGATCCTACTAACAGCAATCAAATGATGTGCAAAGCAGCTTGCGACATGGTATGCTCAGATTGAAAAAGACCAGATTTGGTCATCAAGAAATTTCATTTATATTTCTGGCCTATGTCCTTGGAAACTGCAATATAGAGAGAGTATCTTGAAAACATCATGGATTTGAAGTTTTGGTAAAGATAAACCATAACAAATTTATGATAAACTTTGAATTTATCTTTTGTTTATTGCACTTAAATTCATTAAAAATATATATTTCAACACAGTATGTGTCCCTAACATGCCATAGAGACCCACTTTCAAATAATTAAGATTCCAATTTGGATGTGCCATACATCCTTTTCTGTAGAGATCTGTAGATTAAGAACAAAGCCTTAAATTTACTGTATGACAAGACCAAAAAAGAATTCTTAGATATGAAAGCCCCTTCCAACTATTGCAAAACTTTAACAATCTGCTTTCATGTACGCTATTAGGAGAGAAAGAACAGAAATCATTGCAAAATTTTAACAATGTGATACAACTCAACTCAATTGTCATGCTTTCCTATTTGGATTTGCATAAGCGATGTGCCTTGGCAGGTCAACAGAACAATCATGGATTACATGTGAAACTCAAAAAGGAAAAGGGAAAAAGAAAACCAGTTCCCTATTCAAAGCATATCTTAGCTCCTATGTATACCTGCTTACAGAACCCTAACAAAATTTAACCACAACTGGGGAAGCACACATATAAAGCCTGCAAATATACAATGAACTGCCAAACATTTATTTTTCAAAACATTCAAACCGAATCTCATTCTTATCTTGCCAGACTCTGAAACGCACAAACCATAGAAGTATGCCTGCCTGAGATTTGTTTCTAGTGGAAGATAGGGGAAATTTTTAAAGCAACAATGATCGACATTATGATTTGTTCCCATGAGCTGCCATAATAAGAAACAGAATGCAAAAACTGCCTACTTCTTAGTAAATGTTTCATATTTCTCTCCAGCCTACTCATTGCAAATTTAAGCGCGTAGTTTCGTGATAGTCCCTATATATCCTATGTAGATCAAATACCCATTAGATCACTA